GATTTTTAGATTGAAAAGCTGTAACATAGAACAAGCATTATCTTACTCCGGCTTTTCAACCCCTGTTAGTTGTAGTGCTAAACATGGAATTTCCTTCCATCTCTTGAACTCCCAAGAACTGCAGAAGGCTTTCACAAAGCATTTTCTGTAAACTCTGCAGTCTACGTAGGAGAAAGGAAAAAACACAGCTTGACTTTTGGGGCAATAAATAAGTCTATATCAGGCTGCTAGAAGACCATGTTGTGTGTAAACTGAATATACTTGTTAAAAAAAAAATTGGTGCATTCACTACCAACATCTCTAGACTTACTTTTAGGTGGAACATCCTTTTAAGGTGAGGTTCAGCTTCCATGTGCCTTTTTCTTTAACAAGATGAGCAGCTAAAAATTAGCCATACAAAAACAAATATATATGGAGCCAATGGAACAATTAAGGTCTGCCAAGGTCAATGCATGCTGTGCTCTCATACTACCTATTATTCCCGGTAATTTGGAGGAACATTGAACAAGGCAACCTGATGAGGGAATTCTGGTTATTTCTTTTTCTAAGTTGAGACCTGACTCAGAAATAAGCTTCTGGTACAAACTAACAAACAAAAAAATACTTATGCTGCTAGACCAGCTCTTCATAGGCAACTGCACTATCCGCCTACAGAAGACGGATCTGAACTTACCCTGCTGTGGCCATAATCAACAATGTAAAACCATAAACAAAAGTTGGTGATGTAGAACATGCAACCCCTGATGACCGTCAAGTCTCAGGTCTGAAAGGGTCTCAAAGATACACTGGCTTCAACCTTGTATATTTGACGTGAGAGCACTAGGCCCCTTACCTGGTAGAAACAGCAGCCAGTCCTTGAACGGAGGTTCAAGATGGCAGTAATGAAAAGCAACTGTTGGAGTTGTTTTTATTTTTTTAATCTACGCAAGACAGGAAATAGAGTCATTCTTCTGTGACTGAATATAAAGGATAATTAGTTAAAAATCAATACGCTGATTTGCGCTTAATTTAAAATCAGTTCATCCTGTTTGTAGAAGAGGGTAGAACTGTTAAGGTTTCAATGACATTAGCTGCAGCTGGGCTGTCTTGCAAGTCACTGTGAGGGAGACAAGACAGACAAAGGAAACCAAACTGATGAGACAACATCTTTTTATTCTGTACATTTACATACAAAGTTTTTCAGTAGGTACAACAGATGTAACATCATGCAGACATTTAGCTTGTAAGACTGTTTTCAGTACTTGATTTAAGCTTGTGCTATGAAGAAGCACCACCAGACTATTCATGATCAAAACATACAGTAACACGACTCTTTAAAACTTCATCAGAAACTGAAATGGGGAGGGAAGTCTCACCCACTAGACATAACACACTATACTCCTTTCCCAAAACATTTTACACAATACAATTAAAATGAGGTTTGTCATTTTATTTTTCTTAAAAAAGTTGTAGTGAGGGAGATCATCCCACACTCATAGTGTTGTCTTATGTGCCAGCTACAGGCGCAACTTGACTTGACATTCACAGAGTTCATTTAATGGCACTTCTGCTTCCAATTTGGTGACCTTTAGTGTTTGGCTCCAGGAAGTGGCAACAGTTAAGTAAAATACTTCCATTAAAAAAAAGCCTACTAAAAAAAAAAAAAAAAGGAAATCACATAGAACCCTTTTTGGGTTGTCGTAAAACACTTCCAAACAGATGACACGTTTCTCCACACTGTCTTTTATCTATTTGCAGTGTGTCTGGCAACAAAAGCACTACTGAAAGCTGAAAAGAAAAAAAAAAAAAACAGCTCAAGCATAATGTCACTTTCACATTTTGTTTAAAAATTACAAAAAAGGAAGAAAGCCCTTAAATGGTAAATTATAAAGAAAAAAAAAAATCCACTAATGGGCTCAGAGGTTACTGAAGGTTCACAGAAAAAGGCCAAAACGGACAGGACAGCTTTGAATGCTTCCTCTGTTGTGGTGACCAGAAACAGCCATGTGAGCAAAGCGTTTCCTGGTGATGGCTATGGAGGAGATGCGATTGAGGAGCTGATGGGCTGACATATGGTAGCTGAAGTACAGATGTTCCAAAGTACTTGAAGTACGGTAGCACCGTCCAGATGAAGGACTAGGCAGAGCACATTACAAAACTAGGTATTGTTTCTGCCCTGCTGTATCACTTAGTACCTTACTTCTCCTCTGAACGTTTTCCCACATTAGATACACTTAACAAAAGCTTTCAAAGTAGCATATGTCAAAAAAAAGCAAAAACCCAACACAAAACACCCAGAATTTTTCATCTTTTCAGCAGAACAAGCAAAACTGGAGCTACCAAGACAGGAAATTAATTTGTGGGGTGTTTTTTTTTTTTCCTCCCTAATGATAGAGCCAGAGGGCCAAACCAACTGGAGAAGTTGGGATGCCCCATATTGCAAAAGATCAGTACCAAGTGCCTCGTTTCAGGCAAAAAAATAAAAGCAGCAAATCAAGTCAATTTCATAAGAATTAAAAAAAACCTGCCAAGTGTTCCTGTCACCTAACGTGTTTATAATATACATGTTGATATGTGTAAACAACCGTTCTCTTCCTTGGGCCTGTTTTTCACCAGAGAGCAAACACCAGAATAGGAAACGATGAAGCGCTGTGGACAACAGCAGTGAGCACACCAGGACCGCTAACAGTGCTGAAAGCAACCAGTTTAATAGGCTTGTGAATGGTCTACAAGATTCATACTGTAGCTTGAGTACACACGCACAGAGACCACGAATAAAAGAGCCGCTCCATGGCGTGATGGATCACAAAACGCTGTGTGACAGCTCTGTGCCCGCTGTGCGCTCCACCTCTGTGCTTTTCCCTGCTCCGCTTTGAGGCCCTTTTTTTTTCTCTTCCATTAAGACTTATTTTGCTTCTCCAGTTTCATTGTGAACCCACTTTCCCCCAATGTGTGGCTTGTAACAAGCATAAAAGGCAAAAGGTATTACACAAATTTGGCACATGAATACTGCATGAATTTGAAAGGCCTTATTTTTTTTCTTTAGGTGAACACAGATTGCAGAAATCTCAGCACAGAGGAAAGAGAGAAATGGCCACTCTTGAGCTAGACAGTAAAACTTGAGTATAAGGAAGATCGGGCTCTCGCTATCACAGCAAGTCTTAACAAAGGTGAAAAAACAGTAGTGTAACTTTGGGCAAAATTACCATCAACTGGTCCAGTGTTTCTTACTAGGCTCAAGAAGAACCCAAACGTCCACATCCTCTGTACAAAAATTAGCAGCTTTAGGACAACATTGTTTTTCTGAACAGCACAATCTCTGTCGCTTCTGCAGGTCTACCTGTCCCCTTGCACTCCTCAGTGTCTGAGGCTGTGCTAGTTACTACAGTGTCCGCCAGGGAGCATCTCTCTGATTTACCGGGGACAGTAAGAGGACAGAGGCAGCCTAATGGAGGATGGAAATCATTAGGTACAGTAGTTAATAGACAATATATACAGCAAAGGAGGAAAGGGGAGGGAAGGTAGAGGAGGAAAGTGCAAATGAGCGCTTTCCACACTTATGAACGCAAGATGTACATCAAACAAAGTGGCAATCATATGGACAGTCAGTACAACATCAACATCCTGCTGCTCTGTTGGTTTAAATGTCTGTACTACTGAACAATCACAAATGCATGGCCTGAGTGAAAAAGGAAAAGAGGGAGGGAGAGAAGGGAGGTTAGCTACAATGCAAGGAAACTGTTAGTTCAGAAAGTCCTTGCATTGAACAAGATCCTCACAGCAGTTGCACAGTGAGAACCAAAATCTGATGGCCAAAACAAATTGTTGGTTTGGGGACTCTAGAAGAGGGAAGTCAAGTAGCTATGCTCAAAGTGCCATCTGTACAGTAAGAGACAAACTGTATCTTCACTTTGCTTAGCATAGAGTAGGATCGATCCAATTTAAGTAGACAATTTTTTCTTAAAGGAAATCCTGAAAGAGCATTTGGGGAAGGGGGAAAATATAGGTGAGTTCACTGTGTATTCTTGGGTCAGAAACAGAAAACATCTCCAGAAGCCCCAAGACGGCCAACAACAGACCTTGAGTCTTTATTCACAGGCTATCAATTCATTCCCTTCTGACAGTCACTTAACTATTTTGTCCATTTAAATTGAAAAGAAAAACTCTGTGGCTTTAAAAACAGGCAGGGCAATGCCAGGACTCTCATCTCCCAGGAGTGGGAATCCCAGCTATGCTGCCTTTTGAAACAAAAGTACAGATCATAGCCAGCGCTCCTTACTTTTTGTCCCTGCTGGTCTATGCTCTTCTCCTGGACCAGTCAAGCAAAGATTCTGGACCTCCTGGTGGTTAAAGCCATTTTTGGCAAAACTATTTTTTGCATCATTGGTCAAATCATTTACATAGTCTACATTACCATTAAACACCAGCAAGAACAGTTTAAAATAGATGAATGGACTCTTAAAATGCATAAGGCTGATCCGGGTTGAAATCTCAGCTCAGTTTGGGTAGGATTTTCTTCACTCCTTTTGGCGGAAATAAGGTACTAATTAAGAAAGTAACTTTTAAATGCACGTGGGTTACAATAACCAAATATAAGCTGCCTAAAATGCAGTCAGACTTTCAGTCACAACAGGTTTTGCTTCGTTTTTTCTCCTGTTTTGTTTTCTTTTTTGGTGTTTTGGTGTATACAAACACAGCAGGCAACCTGGGCGCTTTGACTTTCTAGACAGGCAGAAGAATGTTGCACAAGTCTAAATTACAGTCAGTTCAACTTTGCAGTGGATACTTCCTTCCTTTAAGAAACACAAAAACAAAACAGAAAACACCCCCCCACCATGGTTTTTTTCTTGGAATGGCTGCACCTCTTATAATAAGATGGCTTCATTTTTGTGATTTATGAAAGGAAAAGGAAATAAAGTGCTTCTTGAGAATAAATCAAAATAAATATACACATTTAATGGCAAGAAAAAAAGAGTTCTGAAGGGCTATCTCCAGCCAGGTCTTTTCTCAGATAAGTATTTTTCCCCCATAACTTTTTCAAAAGCAATCTGCACAACAGTTGAAGATTCCTACAAGTCGCTTTAGCAGCAGAGTTGAATTCCCCCAAGTCTGTGTCTGTTCCATCACTGGTTTGTAAAACCTGTGCAAAACACCCTCACCCAAAGTGCTGCTCCTCCTGCACAAGAGCATCAAATAAAACAAAAAAGGAAAAGGGGGGGGGGGGAAGGGGGAAAAAAATCCACCCAGTTACATTGACTTCATCCCGTTGGCAGTGGTGTTCTCGGAGATCCCATCGCTCACAGCTGCTGAGTCATGGAGGCCAGAGTAATCCTTGAGTTCAGAGTTTGTCAGGAGCAGGGGCTGTTCCCCTTTCTTGTGCGGCAGCAGGGGCTGCCTGGTGTAATGTTCACCGTCCGGGATGTTTTCAGGCAGGTTCTGGTTCTTGCTCTCCGGCAGGAGCAGGATGCAGATGATGCAGATGAGGGTACAGCAGGCGAAGATGACGTGGTGGAGGAAGTAGCCTTTCTGGTTGTGCAGCTCCATGATGGGGGCGGTGAGGCGGCCGAAGCCGGCGCTGGCCAGGACCAGCCCCAGCCCGCCGCCCCTGCAAGGACAGCACAGAACAGCTCAGCTCAGCTTAGCGCCCAGCCAGCAGCCTCCCGCCATCGCGGCCGTGAAGCAGGAGGGGCAAATATGTGGTGGGGAACGTGCGTGGCAGGGGAAATCCTTCCTCTCTGGCCTTATTTTCCGGGCTCAGGGTTACTCTGCAGACAGCCAGAAAGCGTTTATTTAGCAAATGGCTGTTGCAGGCTCATGGAGCTGCAGAGCACAGCAGAACTGGGTGCTGCCTTCTTGGCAAACCGCCTTCTCTAGCTGGCTCGGATGCGCGAGCCTGACTCAACCAGGCAAACTAGTGCACACAGAGCCACCCACTGGTGTCTGTGCTCCCCTCCGAAGTGGTGGAGAGGTGCCAGCTCCCTCGCCACGGCTGCCCCAGCGGTGTCACCCCCAGCGACACTGGCCCCAGGATTTTCCCTGCATGTGGAGGCACCACAGAGCCTGAGGTGCCGCGGCCTTACCGCCAAGCACCACGTACACGGCTGCAACACCAGCTCGAACTGAGCTCTGCTCAGCTGCCAGCCCCAAAGGCTCCCTGCACACAGGGATGCCGCTGGCTGCAGTCACATCAGTCACAGTGTGCTAGAGAAAGCCAGTGGCCTCTGAAAGGCAGCTGGAAACCACATGCTCTGCCAGATGCGGGCAGAGGAAGGATCCACCTCCACCTCAGCTGTGACAGTTTGCAGTGAGGCAGGTTACCTTAAACGCTCAAAGTCAGCGATTAGCACCAATACAGCACATCACAAGCTGCAGCTACCAAGATGCAGGTTACCTCTACCTGTGCTGCTGCTGTGGGGCAGCAAACCCCAGCAGCAGGACATCATCACCTGCAGCCACGAATCTGAGTCAACAGCCCTTACGAGTTCCTCAGACTGTCCTGTTTGGCAAATAGCAGGGCTCTAAAATCTTTCAGGCAAACCTGTTTTGCACACAGCTCTCACACCGTACAACTACTCTCGTAGGGGGTTACTTCTTCCTTTGCTATTGTAGATCATCAAATGGAGCTCCACCACCCTGGAGCACTATATCCCATTACTGCCTGTTGCCTGTGTGTGAGGAAATAACTATACTCATGTAAGTATCTTTTTAACGAATATGACTGCCTCCATGTAAGGGGAAGAGAAGCTGTATCACAACAATATGCAGACAGCCCTTTAGAAAATTCCCATATCCAAGTATTCCACATTCAGTGAGGGGAAACCACATTTTGCTTAGCAAGCCAGACTTCTCCAGTTTGGACAAGATACACTAGGAAGCAGTAAGTCCACTGCTAGGTGCAGAACTCAGTTTTGGCCGCCTCTAAAGTACCTGGCAACCACCACCAGTGGAGGCAGGAGATTAGACTTCACACTCCACTGCCTTGATCTGTTATACCAAACACTTACGTACTGAAATATTTTCCTATATAAAATATGTGGTGGTTGGAACCTCTTAACACACAGATGCTGTGACAATATGAATTCTTTTCCAAAAAAAAGATGACATAGCTAGTGGGCAGAAGAGCAGAACAAGTCAAGAGTTTGGGATTTACTTTTGAGACCTCTTGACTCACTGTACAGGTTGAGATAGGTCCCTCACTTTGCTCTTTCTTACTTCTCTGCTGTATTTATGGACCTCATCAAAGGGTGATGAAAAGGTTAATATTGGTAAAATGCTTAAATTATAACTAGGTGACTTTATAATATATTCTTTATGGCACAAATATTTATCAAATGTAAAGTGCCAATGTATTTAGATTATTCATACAGGCACACCAAAACAGAGTGAAAACATATTAAAGCTTAAAAAAATATTAAAAAAAATAAACCCCTCTTAGCCACAAGAATGAATTTGCTTGTGCAGGCTGAATTCAGTGCTCGTTCCTGATATTCAGCTATGCAAGCAACCTCTCTTGCACTTCCTCGTCCTGCTCATTCATTTCTTTTCAACTCCTGGAACAAAGTGACCTGGCACATCTCAGACTGCACTCGCGCTCCAACCTCATTCCCAGTCACAGCTTGTGTTCCCAGGGTCAGTGCCTGCTGGGTGCTCCCCCCTGCCCCACAGAAGTTACAGCAGAATTTTCTCTAGCGCAGACCATCAGCTGCTCCTGCTGCAGTACTATAGTGCGATGTCACTGTAAGATGACTTATTTTAGCAAAAATTCCAAGAACAGTGGCTAGTCCTTTGTTTTCCAAAGACCCTGTCCGGAGATGGAGGTCTGGAGAGTCTTCCCATTAGCTGGATCATTATCACTCTGTGCTCTCCATCTCACCACTGGGATCTCCCAGGCAGCATGCTTCTTGCAGCATCTACAGCCACTCGTCAACATATGATCTTTCCATAAACTCTTTAGCGATTAGATGGGCTCAAGCACCTTACTTACAGGCCTTAGGAATTCTGGCCCAATGATGGAGATGTAATTTTTAATGATAATCAGACAGTATAGAACAGAGAACTGCAGAAAGTATGCTCCACAGAAGGCGAATGAACTACTGGAAATGAGCTATGTAAAAAAAAAAAAAAAAAAAAAAAAAGAAAACAAACCAAATCACACTAAACCCCCAAAGCACTATCAACCTACAACTGCCAATTTTTTTCAGCTAACCATCATGTTAAAGCTAATCTTCACTCAATCCTTTTCAAAGTTCACCGTTTACTAGTTGACACCTAAAGGACAGCGAGGGCAGGTTTGAAAAAATGCTCTCCTTAGGACACTGACTGGATCAAAAATTCATTTATGTAACTTTTAATTCTCTAGACACAAGCAGTTTCCCCGAATATTGCAAAAGCCTATGTTAAAAACTTACCAGCTCTCCACTGGCAATTTAGAAATCTAGCTGAATGCATTCATTATGCAGCTGGCCTCTCTACAACTTCATTAGTATACCCACATGAGTAATCAACAGACGTAGCCTCTTAAACACACCGCAAATCACTTGCAACAAAAGATCAACTGTCATTTACATCAGTGTTTGCTATGGCTAAATTGTATCTCAAAGACTGAGAAGGACCTGAGGTGGGTTTTAATAGCAGGACATTTAATAAACTGAAAAGAGAAAGGAAAAGGCAAGAACAAGTACAGTTCTGCCACTATAAATCAAGCAGCTTCGTATTTGGAGGAACAGAAGTTTTTCCTCATCACATCAGTAATTGGAGCAGGTGATACTTTATCCACGACCATCAAAATTTGGCAGAAGACTTTGAAATGTTTCCTAGAAGTTGTTTTTTTTTTAACTTGATCATAAAACACCACAAGCATGGAAGTAGTCAGGATTTTTTTTTTTGTTGTTCACACATACACCAGGAAAACAAGTACACTAACAAGTACACATAAGTCACACTGTTTTCACAGGCACTATGGGAGACATTCAGTTTCTAAATATTGTTCTTCCTCACTTCAGGTTTTCCTGTGTCAGGGGATCAGCATTTATATTTAAAACCTGTTCTGACACGCAGAACAATAGCAGAATATGAGCTGGCAGTTTGAGTGTGCAATAGATGGTGATACCAAAGGCAAGGCACAGCTCTTCCCTTAGCTTCTCCACTTGGAAAGCAGCTGCTGCACGGATGGGGCTTTCCCATGGCACAACCACACTTATGGAGCACAACCTCCAAGGATTCCCTTTCAGACATAGTAAGGACCTTAAACGACAGCAGCTACTTTTCTGACTTATGCCATCATCTGTGTTACCACTAGAGAGCAGGCACAGCTCACGTTCATTTAGCGTAGAAGGAATACTTATGAGATTGGCTGTGCTTATAGTTCGGACATGTGCAAATCCCAAAAGGGCCTTGGTCCAAAATTTTGTCCTCAGAAAGGCCTCCCTATTCATAGGGGAGAATTTCCTCTTATTTACCAGAGATTTGAACAGTTGCAATACTGCCGTAGCTTTAAGTCAACAGCAAAATATCCACTCTGAGATTCACTGCTTCACTTGAACCAGGCTAAAGCTTAGAAGAAATTCGCTTTCAACACTGTTGAGGAGAACAGAGACATGTTAATCCTAGTTTGGGTTGGATATTTGTCCATCTTGAGCGAATAGGTTGATACATGACACGGTTCAGAGTACAAAAATGCTAGAGAATCATTCAGGTTGGAAGAGACTTCAAGAGAGCATCTAGTCTGACCTCCTGCTCAAAACAGGGTCAACACTGGCTTCAGATAGGGTTGCTTAGGGCAACCAGTCAGGTCAGTCCTTAGAGGAGGGGGAAAAAAAAAAAAAAAAGGACTGAATTGGAAAACCTCCATGGCTTTTCCCTGCCCTTCCTGTATGTAAACAACCTTCTTACACACTTGGCTCTAGGCCAGAGCATCAGTAACGCCCTGAGACACCCTTGCCCTCATGGTGCATGGCACCACCTCTTAAAAACCTGGCTTGGCTCTGACCCAAGTATCTAGCATTGTACCAGTGGAAATTTGATTCGTGACAGCTCTTGATGGACCAAGCTCCAAGTACAGCCATTGCCACCCACTCTTCATTTCTGTAGCCCGGAAGGCAAAACAGGACACAGACAAGCTGAGGCAGCTTGTGGACCAGCTTACACTATCACACCAGGCTCTTTTTCACCTGTTAGTACAACACATAAAAGAGCACCTATAGAGCACATAAAAGCCAGGGAGAAGACACACCACATTTTCCTTAGTCTCTTCCTATTTGGCAGCTGTGCAACCCGCAGTGGTCTTCTCATCAAGCTTATCGGACATGGCTTATCGGCTTAATTTAGTGCTTCAATTCAATGTTTGGAAGGAGCTCTTCACTGAACTCCCAGGTAGGAGGAACTGGCACTCTCCGGTGCAGCCTTTTTGCTTAGTGACAGGAAATGAGGGCAACTCGTGGTGCAGGGCCAGGGCATGATGGACCTCTGCGTTCTGCCTGATAGCAAAGGGCTTTTGTGTCTCTAGAGCAGAGTGCACCTCTTGGTGATGAAGGTGGCTGCCTTCCCTCATATGCTGTAACTGTTCAACTTAAATGACAAAGCAGTAGAGGCAAGTCGGGTGCTATCCTGTCATTGCCAACCTTGCTACAGCAATGCTGTTTTTCCCCCCTCAGAGAAGAGGGATTCCAAACAAAAAAGTAGACCAGGGAAATCCCAGAGATGTCCCCAGCTCTCTTACTGCTTCTCTTTTCCTTAAGGCTCCTCAAGAATCAAAGAAGTGTGTATTAAGATGCTGGGAAACACTAAAAGGCATTAAAGGCAGTATTTTGGAAAATAAGTTATGAGGAAGCAGCCAGTCTTCTGAAATGCAAGACACAGACAGCTTAACCACACCTCTGCCTGAGATGTGTTTATATATTGCTCTGATGGCCACCTCATAATTACAACACTGAGTGGATCTTATCACAAACTTTGCAGTGTAGAACCCCAAATTACTGTAGAGTGTCATAATACCTATTTATAAATGGAGACCCTGACGCATATCCAGCTACTGCCACTTGACTGATGCCATCCAGCAGAGTCAGGGGAAAACAGAACTCTAGTTCTCAGATCAGTATTTTGTCCCTTTCCCTGTAACATCGTAAGAGATTTAAGGGAAAAGCTTGCTAAGTTCACACTGCACATTTGACTCTCCTGACTCATCTGGCTGACTTGACCAATTCTTTATCTCTATATCTTTCAAAGAAAGACATGGAGAAAATTAAAGGAACTTTAAAAAAAAGACCAAACTGACTGACACACACGTAAGTAAATAGCTGTTGGTGTTTCAGGCTGTTTTACAATCTCCTCACCACTACCACTGCCTTTCCCTGTGGAAATAATGTTATCTGTAAAATACATTCAGCAAGCCAAATAGCCTGGAAGAAAAGGCCATGGGGATTAAGGAGACTCTGGCTACTCAGCTTGGCAGTTTACTATAATACTTTTGCAAAGTTATTGAAAAGGCGTGTTATTTGTAAAAAAATAAATCCTCATCTCTTCCTCTCCTCCATCCTTTCTCCCTCCTCCATACGACCTACATTCCTCTGAAATTCAATGGGAGTCAGGGCAGACTCCCGAATTGCTGTGGCATTGTTGAAAGCATAATCCAGAACATATAAGCACAGCCTGTGTGCTGTGAAAGATAACAGTGAATAAATATAATAGCACAAAAAATTGACATTACAAAGATATTTTATGAGGAACTCTCCAGAGAAGATCATCTGCCTGATTTCCACTAATGCAAAGCATATAAGAACTCCTGTTTAGAAAAACTTTGAGCCTCTGCTAAGATAGACCCAGGTGTAAAGGAAAAGATAACAGACTCAAAGGTAGAGTAAGACCCTGAAACAAACCTAGGAACACTGGTGCTGTAAGAGACGTGAAACTGCAGTCCCTTATAGCACCTATACACAGCAAGAGTGTGCAACGCTGCGTGTTGCAATGCTTCCCTTCCACTGAAGCACCCCTACAGCTGGCCTGAATAACCTCCCCTACAGAGGTACAGAACTGCTTATACCTATGTCCTTTTCTGTACGCTCACGGGAATTTCTCCAGACTCACATGGCTACTGTTTGTGAAAATCTAGTACAGCAAAAAAAAAAAAAAAAAAAAGGTTCAGCTATAGGATATAGGATCCGGTTCAACAAAGTACCTAAGACCATACCTCACTGCAAACAAATGCAGTTCTTAAAGATGACTGGCTTGCTGCAAATTGTCATGATGGGATAAAAGGTGGAGCCGTCCGAAACAAACAAAGCCTCTCTGTCTACACATAGGCATTTACTTAGGCAGACTGACTGCAGCGACATTAAATTACAGAGCTGCCCAGAAATTACTGTGTGGTCTCCAATTGTGGGAAATTTCTCCTCCTGTAAAACGTGTTAAGTTAACAGCCAGTAACAGCCAGTTATCAATAAAACGAGGATAATTTGTTCCCTACCCTTTAAAGAGGGGGGCTCCAAGGTCTCACCTTATTACTGTGGGTGTGATTTCAGCACAGAAGAATACGCTGAGGCTTCCAACGGCATGTGAAGAAAACATACCCACGATGGAAAATGCAGTAGAGAATTTGTCTTTGACGCTGTCACTCATACCTGTCAAGACAAGTATGTGCATAAAAAGTGAGACTGAGGAAGAAAGAAAGAAAGAAAGCAAGAAAACAAGAATACAGTTTTATGTTACTCATTAACCCCAAACAAGAATTTGAGTCACTTTTGTAACACTAATTTAAAACTGGTATTTATAAAATCCCTTCCCCAAGCACCCAAGACATAAACACACATGAAAAAAAATCATAATGTCATGCCAAAAATGGCAATGATCTCTGAATTATTTATGCCTAGCCACCACAAAAAGGTAAACCCCAAGAAAAAATATATCCTTGGGCAGTCTTTTAGGCACCACACACTTCCCTCCTACATTTGACAGACAAGCGGAGGCAGGCAGCATTCATCAAGTTGCCAAACATCTGGTACAGCTCAGCGGCTTAAGCATTGGAGAGGCTCACAGGAAAAGGGAAAAAAAAAAAAAAAAAGTATTCCAATCTCCATGCTAATCCCCTGCAAATGATCAGTCTGCAAATACTGTCCTAAGCCCCAGCTTGACAGACTTCACCTGACATCTCTGAAAAAAAATGATGTCTATGGCCATGAAGCACTCCCTTTAAGTCACCATATCCCAAAAGACTGTTTGCTCAGTCATTTCATGGCTGAATGGTAGCAAGGTTTCTGAGAGAGAATGGTGTCCATCAAGCTCTGTGAGAAACCACAGTAAATCTAACTAAAGCTAAAGAAAATTGTCACCTGGGCATAGCAGCGGCACACCCCTCACTCAACTCTCGCTCACCCCTTGTTGCGGGCAGGGTCAGGACACCTGATCCAGGGTGTCAAGCTCAGGTGGTACTTTGTAGCCAGCAAGAAGGCCATGCTGTTCACAGGGAATACTGCACCACCCTAGCGAAAGGACTGGAGCTTCCCAGCCAGCATTCCCCACTTTCTTACACACAAGCCCCAATATTTGGCTGGAGATAGGACTGTTCACTAGTGTGCAGTCCCAACCAAGTTTGCTTTGTGGGTTGGATCCAATGAAAAGTAATATCTACTTCTATTCTTGCTGAATATATCAACTCTCCAGAGAACAAAAGGATTTGTAAGCTCTTGCAGAAGTTACAACTTCTGAAGTACATCGAGCAATTTCTACTGCAAAAGGCTGGGCTAAGGACCTTCTGCGATGTACAAGTCTGCTGGCCTATAAGGAAGTGAACACGGCAGCCTGCAAATGAAGGGTCTCTGGGGAGCTCTGGCACCTCCCTGCACTGGGGAGGCAGGGAGTTGCAGGTGCTCAGCAGGACACACCTGGGCAGCTGGGCAAGGCCAGATCTGTTAAATCAAAACCAGAAGAGCAGGCTTTGCTCCCCTGCAGCCCGCCACTGTGTTGCTATTACAGGGCTTCAGGTTGGGATAAGATGCCGGGAAAATGTTTTCAAAAGTGTCTGGGTCCCCTTTTCAGAAGGGACTTTGGCACCTCACAGCTTTATGGAAGAGGCCAAATTGGACAAATTCCTTTTGAAAGAGAGACTTAGGCATTTCTGAGAAAGCCTTGTCCTGCATCTAAAAATAACCATTGGGAGACCTCTAAACCCTCACTTGACATACTGACACGAGCCAGTCTCATGCTACATGGAGGGGACGTTACAGTGAGAGGCTCCGTATAAACGCATCTCCCTATGACTGGGGTCCCAAAACACTGCGTAACAGTGGGTTTTCCCCATGCACCCCTCTGCCCTGGCAGCTAGGCTCTGTGTCCTTTGGCCCCTGGCCTTTCAGACCTACCCATGTCTAGTAGGAGCACCTCCTGCGTAATACAGACACATTTATAAACCATACCTGAGTCTGGGAGCTGACTGTATTTTCCAATCACTGGATCCAAGACGATAAAAGTTAGAGCAAAAGAAAAGTATGAGAGGAGGAGAGAGAAAACAAGAACATACTGTTATTACAGATGCAATTTATCCAAAGCAAAAAAAGGTAAACCACCCAGACCTCCCAGCCGCCCACGTATTTCTCCTTTCCAGGGCCACAACCAGAACCTCTTTCCGCACCCATCCGCTGCAACACGCCGTTTCCCAGCCCCTTCCAGCGGAGGACAGAATTCTAATGAGATGGTGATAATAAATGCAGCCCTTAAGGATTTTTAAGAGACCCAGAATTACCATTGAGATTAACACAAAGGCCTCTTTGTTGCTAATGGAGGGGGAGAAGAGAAACTGCCCTCGTACCGTAACCCCAAAGGAACGGCCAACAGAGCCTCCAGTTAGAAAGCAAAACTCTTTGAATCAGCATCTTTGCGCTGGTAAGAGACCTCTTCCTTGCCAAAACCCAGAGCTGATGCTCAGTGTGTCGAATTAGACACAAGCTGCCATAAGCCCCAACGGCAAAGAAGCACGATGCAACACCGCACTGCGAGTGCAGCAGTAGTTGCATGAATTGGGCATAGCAACTCAGCAGACGATCTGACTGCAGACCCCTGGGTGACTCCAGTGACAACCTGCAGTCTGGAAGAAGCTCTGGACTTGATGAGCCTCAAGGTCTGTTGTGTGTTTGCGGCTGACGGAGAATATTTATCTCTTCTCCTCCTTCCCCAACCCTGATTTCATTTGTTAATTACCCCCAAATTATGCTAAATTAAAACACACACAAGGCTGCAACAGATTCCATAAGCAGCAGGGTCACTGCTTCTCTCCAAACACTGTCTAGCTCTTTCAAGGAGGAAGGGGGGTATGGTCTACATCAGGATGAAACAAGCTGCTCAGAAACTCACGGCTACTTATTCTTTCTCTTTTCACAAAGAAATGGGAGAGGCCAGAGCAGGGTAGGCTAACAGGGCACTTCTGCCAGCATAGCAGAAAGCATCTAGGGTCCTAGGCTATTTTTAGTTTTAGTAACTTTGCTAAGAGGAAACACCTAAATCCACTAAGGAAAAGGTTGTAAAGATTGCTACAGGGTGTTTCTCCCCACCACCAGCCCCTTTTTTTTGTTGTTATAAAACAGAAATTAGATTTTAATGGCTCTGGTGCATTATCCCTCCACTAAGCAATTGTGTATTTATTACCTCAACGAACATTTGATATCTTTAAAAAAAAAAAAAAAGATGAATTCAATATAGAGAGACACTGATGGACACCACAAGACCCGGGATTTCGGGAGAACAAATGCACACGATATGTATCTGCATGTGAATTGTCACAGGGCTTCAAAGGAGATCAAAGGGCTGGGGATGAGATGAGGATAGAGGTGCTTCTCCTACTCTCCGCTTGGACTGTTGGACACAGTAAACGTGGGCTCAAAGTAAATGTAAACATCTGTGCCAAACTGGGAGCAAACACAATTTTTGAGATTCCTTAATGTCATGAAAGAGATTCCCTGTTCTGCCCCCAACACTTACTCAAATAATGCGTTCACAAAAGGTTAACCTAGAAAACATCTTCAGGAAATGTAGTTTGTAAATATGGACAACTCCTGCTGGCCCAGCGCTGCGCTCAGCATGAGGGGATGTAAAATCTTTTCATCCCCAACACAAAAAAAAACTCACTAAATCTCTAAAGCTATTTCTAAACTTAGAAATGGAAAAAAGCAACAATCGGTGTTCTCATGTCCATCTCAAATCTAATTTACCCAAAAGCATATCTCAGCCTCCCTTCTCCCTTCCTTGGGGTGAGGTTTCACAGAATGGTGACCTAATGGCTGGCAGCTGCAAGAGGGGGCAAGCACATCCCTCTCCCTCTGCTTCTCTGACCCCTCAAGTTCAGTTCGCATAATTTCAACAGAAGATTAACCCATGGAAATAAAAGAATGAAAGGAAAGGCAATATTTCTGTACCAGCTTCCACAGCTGAACTGGCTCCAGAGGGCTAGAGAAATGCCAGAGCCTCCAGAGAGGGGGAAGCGTAAGACACTTTCTTTTGTCAGAAATATGTTATGAGACAAGTTGTGTCACCTCACAAAATGACACCCATACATGCACATGGACTATGCATACACACCATGCTAAAAGCAGGGTCTCCCAGCTGCAGATTTCCATGCTACCTGCATATTACCTGCATGCAGTAAGATGCTCAGAACAGGCAGAGGACATACACTTATTGTTTTAACTGGGAGCTTTTGCTTGTTTTAAAAGCCATTTGAGAAGTGGACTCTAAGGGTTTTCCCTTCCCAACCCCTACCCAGCTCTTTTCTCATAGGCTATTTCACTGAAATAAAATTTAAAGTGTTTAAAAAAAAAGAAAGAAAAACATAGCAAAATTAGAAATAGAACCAATATTCAACAGCCTCACTGCAGGGACTCATCTGGAACCAAATACCTTTTATTAATAAATCTAAGATAACAAGAAATTGGGAAATCCTTCAAATTAGCTCAGCATCCTAAACTAAACAGGTGTATTGCATGTCAAATCTGAGAAAGATAAAGGAAATGTTAATGTTTCCTCGTGCCTTGTTTTCAGTTGTCTTCATGACCGCTTGAGGAGGGAGGAATCAATTAAAGCTGCATGCCATTTCCATGGATTCTCTGAATGTGTTAAAATTGATTCTTTCTGTTGCATAAGAAAAAAGGAGGGAGGGGGTGGCAGGGAATTTTCAGCCAAGATTTTACTCTCTTTTAACAGTGGATCTTTAACTCTGACAGAGCTTTTCTGTAGGGATAAATCCCTGTACTCGTACAATGCAATGAAAGATGGGAGACTTGTAGGGGGACCTGAAGGTACTGTATCATAACTGATAAAGGGGGTGACAAAGCGCACTCTGACTGACGTTCCTGCAGTCACCTTCAACAGGACTGCACAGTACATGCATTTTAGTGTTTTTCCCAGACAGCTAATCTACCGATGAACTGCTCTGCCGTAGACTCTTGTGACCATTTTCCCCTATATATAAAGTAGGACCAGCTGAACTCAAGGCCTCATGCAGTTCTGAAAAAGCTTTTTTCCACTTACAGTTGAGAAGACCAAGCTGCAGAAGCGATGCCAGAGCTGTAAGAATCATGAAAAGCAGGAGTCCTCCTCTCCTCCCCAGAAACCCAACCACCGGGCACATGGCCAAGCAGGATGCCAGAGCAATCCCTGCCATGGTATAGTAGTCCGCATAGAAGTTGTGGGTAATGGTCATCTTTACTTCGTGCCCCATCATACTTTTTGCAAAACAGTGGTGTATACCATAACCAGTCAGCCTAGGGGAAACAGAAAAGGGCAATAGGAAGTCATTGCTGAAAAGGAAGGCAAGTGAAACATAACAAGGGAAAACATAGGGGGAATTAATGCAGGAATCATCTCTTCTGCTGTAGAAATACTACACACAGTGCAAAAGGACACCCATCTTAACTTAGACTTCTAGGTGCTACTGTAAAAACAAGCAGTGACTAAAAGAAACAAAGCAGTCTCCCCTATTAGGCCAGGGACTTTCAGTCTGCTGGCTTAACTCTTACAGTTGTTGCTCAAGATGAGGGGATCTGCAGCTTTATAAGGAACCTTAATGTGTGATTGGTTTTCCCAGCTAATTTTAGGACCTGCCTCTTCTATGTCTAAAAGGGAATTTCTTTTTACCCACTGATGGCAATAGAACCAGAGTTGCTATTACGACGCAATCTGTGTGCTTGGATAGCAAAAAAACCAGCAGAACACAAATACATCTTTCAGGAAGGCCCTCTTGCCTGTAGCATTCAGTCATACTCAAGATTGCATCTCACTCTCTAAGTTAACCTGTTACAACTGAAAACCCATTAAAAATAAGCATTTGAACTGACACATCACACTGCAATGATTATCACCATTATGAAACAATAAACCCTAATTCAGTCTCCATGTTTGCACCATACTTCATAGCAATGGCTTTCCTTCTCTTTTAAAAATGTCCTCCTGATTCCAGTGATCTAATATCTTGTCACTTCATTTCACTCCTCTTTCTCCTGCCCTTCCTCCCTCCCACCACAAAAAGAAAAAAAAGAGAAAAGAAAAAAAACATAAGGGAGAGTGGAGGATTAGAGTAGCAGCATTCAGGCGAAAACCCCCAGGATCATGCCTGGCACTGTGCAAAACTGCACTGCACCTGCGGAGCTGATATAGGACTTTAATGGTCCCAACACTGCCCCCAACATGACACAAGCACCCCTGCCAGGAAAGGCCTCCTCTCTGTAGCATTTAGACCAGAAAAATCTGCTGCAAGCTAATGCGACAAACTAATGATGCCTCATGGAGCTCCAGGTGCAGATCCAGGTCTCCAAAACTACATGGCAGGTACATTACATTGATGAACCTCTATCTTCCTGAACATCAGGAATTTGAAGCACTGTCAGTGTAAACTGGATATTAATATAAGCGTGGAAAAAGTTGTGGAATTCACAGTTGCTGAGTGCGTGATAGCGCAGTGCCTCGGGAATTTCACTTGTAATCTTGTGAATCAATGCCATAATTCAAAAACAACACCTCCCCCCCTGCCCCGACAGCTACCACCTCTCCCTACACCCACACAAAAATACTCGGCACAACTGCTTGCTCTTAAACAAAACCGTCATTTGCTTTGGATATCTGGAAAATAACCAACTCCTCCTATAGGAGAGATATTAATTAGTAAAATGCAATATTAAATAATGTAGTATTGCATCTCTTTCTCTTCTATGCATGCAAACACACTTATTGAAGTTGCTATTTAGGCCATGTTCTATAAACTGAATTAATCTATCATCTACACTCTGCTCTCCAGCCTGCTTCCCCAGGAGTTACTCTATTACCTTAACTTGCTGAGCAGCTCAGAATGGCTGCTTTTAAACCTAAATACATTTATCTCTTTCGATGCCTCATCATTCCTTGTGAAAGGTTCCTGTTCCTTCCTCATGTTCCTAAAATTTAGCACAGCCCCATATAAAAGGAATAACAGAATTAAAATGAAGTAAGATTTTCCACCCCCTAAAAACAGACTTGAAAGCTATTTCCTCAAACACACATCTGCTTCATGTTCTATCTGGAGAGCAAACAAATGTACTATTGCCAGAAGTTATTCTTCGGACTGTCTAGTTCTGGTTTAGGGAATTTCCAAAGGTGTGTAATTAAAAAGGGAGAAGGGGAGAATTCCTCAGATAAACGTTGTTCATAAATACAGTTAACACTAGCTACTAAATCTACGAGCTCAATCTAAGAGCAAAACTGTTCCAGAAGATACAAAGTCACTCCATGATAGATGGAAAAGAGGAACACAAAATCATAAAAGCAGGGTTTGTTCTGCAACTGATATGCTGAAGTCAACGTGCCTCTCGGAGAATATCTACCCAGCACAAAGGATGTCTTCTCTGGATTATAACTGATCTGTATGCCTATTTCCAGGAACGAAGGCTGTAGACTAGGGCCATAAATGTGGTGAAGAGAAAGCTACAACAGAGCTACACACTTTTTATTAAAGGGTGCATAGGATACATTTCTGTGCTTATATCCGATAGGGGAGTTTCCAGGCTTCTCCCCCATCTCCCATTTGAAAAATCACAAAAGCAATTCAAATGGGCATTTAATGTGATGAGAAAATCAGAAATTCCTCTCCCCTCCTGGAAACCGGGATCAGTTAGAGGCTAAATTTGAAGCTAATGCATTTCTTTTTTACCCTGTGCTTGGTTTTGGACAGAAGGTCCCCAAGTTCGGAACCTGCAAAACCCTTAAGCAGAGGCCTGATTTTGCACATGTAAGCATGTCCAAGCTGAAATCTTAGGATATAGGTATCACAATCCTTTGTGTGAGACAGTACATTCTCCCTGTATGCCCTGTACATGTTCTGGGACAGCTGAAGCCCTTTGTAACCTGTTTTTGAGGACACACCAACAACAGCTGTTATACAAGGGAACAGACTTGTATTTACTAGAAGACAACATTTTCCTCTGCAATGTGGCGGTATCAGAGGTAAACAAGCGAGACTTGTGCTCCTGTGTCACTAATGACTGAAAATCCCACCCAGGATGCCAGCAGCAGATATTGTATGAGCATGTAGCACCACGTGACAATGTGAGATTTGCTAGGTCACATAGTAAAGTACTTGCAGCCACATGGTGCTGCTGCTCCACCTACTGAATCGGCCAATGACTTTCCCCAGCTTTGCAAAAAAAAAAAAAAAAAAAAAATTATTTGCACAGCTGTTGCTTTCCAGGATCATTTATCACAGATACTGGTTAAAGGACCCACACTAGAAAACAGAAGAGCTCCCCCATCACATCCTACCACTGCTTTCAGTTCACCAACCACAAAAATATTCAAACAGAAACGCGTCCGACTTACGAGTTCACACACAACACTACAATGTTTTTCCACAGGTTCCTGGTTCCCACCACTTTAACAATGCAGACCTTCTTCGGTCTTCTGGTAAGCTCCTTCTCCAACTCTGAAACAAACCAAACCAAAGTTATTCTTTCATGGGGGGAAAGGGAGGGAAAAACTTAGTCTATGAACTAGAGATATTCTTAGGGATGTTCTGGAGAGAAGGACACGGTACATTACACTAACAGGAGCTATAAAAACGCTAAGCAGCCGGCTTAAAATCCATCCCAGCTTTCCCTCTTCTACCAGGCTTCCCACAGCAGTAACTTTCTCAGAGCTGGAGAACTACACAGTAATTCCTGCAGATCCCAAATCTTCTCCCAATTTAAAGCATTTGTGTAAAATGGAGGCCCTATGGAATTTGGCCCCAGCAAGTATGATACAAAATTTGCTGAAAAACATCAGGACTTTTGCTAAGTTTCAAACCTTTACAGGCAGCATTGTGCTTGTGTGGGATCCCTCTCAAACAGGGTCTTTGGGTCTGTTACAAGATCTGTAGCATCTCCGCAACACACATCTGAAAAACCATGGAAAGGACTGGAGCTCAAATCCATTTTGTCTGGGGATCTTTCAAGGTTTGTTAAAAGAAAAAAGGGTTCCAGAAAGAAGTGGTTAGAACATTATGTCAACTCATCTTCTTCCCTCCCATATTTCAAATATTAAAAAATCATTTTGATGGATGCCCTAACCAGAAGACATTGTCTTAAATAGAAATTACTGGGGGTCATCAACAGTGATTTCTTTGCGTTTCAAATCTAAAGCCTTATGTCCTGCTGAGACAGCTATAAGCTAACTTCTCTTTGCAATATTATAGCTACGGCACATAGGAAGGCGTATCTATAAAGAAGCACCACAAAAGTGATGCATTCCAAGAGTACAAACTGGAACTGTTTTGGGGGGCAAAGACTGCTGCTCTCTAGCAGCTCTTAAGGATGTAACATGGCCCTATTCTGGAACCTGTATCCACTCCCTTCATGCGTATGCAATTGCCCATATGCAATTAGTTGTCCTGACCTGCCCTAGCCTCTGCTTTACTCCACTAAATCAGTAATCTCTTAAAGAGATGCAAGATGGGAAAAAAGAAAGCAAGCCACAGGGAAAAAAAATGAAGTAAATTGACCCTAATTTAGGAGCAAAACAAAAAGACGAGTTTGCCTGCTGTTATGTGAGAATTGTATCATAAAAATAATAAATCAAAGACACACTATTTAGATGCAAATAGCTGTGTTATTCACTGCTCACAGGTCACTTCTGTCTTCTATCCAGAACTACAGGGGATGTTTTTATGAGAAAAGAAACAAAGGACGTTTTACATTAATGATTCTATTTAGGCAGGATATTGCTACTGTTCTTGTTACCCGAAAATGTCCATTTTTCCAGAATCTGTGCAGCACAAGGCCCACAAAAGCATAAACATAGAAACTGAGTAAAGAGGAAACTGCTCAAATTAATATTTGTATTACAGGTGCAAGTAGCAGGCCCAACACTAGATTGGGGCTATATTTAAAAAAAAAAAAAAAGGTAATAAAAAGATAGTATCTGATCTCAAAGAGTAAGGTCAGAATGATTTTTGTAGCAAGATTTTGGAAAGGAGTTAGTGGGAACAAAATAATTCAGAATAACTAAAGCAGTAAGATATATGATTGTAAAGTCTATAATTGAGCCCAAGCCAAATCTTTTACAGTGGAAAAAGTCGAACTAAGCAGTAGAAAAAGTACACAGTTTTGAAAAAGCTTAACAGAAAATGACAGTTTACTACTTCAGCCTGCGAGAAACAATGAAAATTACCACCCAAACAAGACTTTTTGTGCAGATTTCACACGGACATAGGAGTTAATTCTCAAACTGTCTAAGGATGTCCAGATCTGGACTTTTAAAGTAAAAGCTCTCTTCTGTCAGGACAAGACTGTCCCTGATGCCATATTCTTAGGGCTTTCTCAGTTTGGATTTTTGTGCTTCTCAAGGTCTTTTTCACTTCTTTCTTGGGGGAAAGGAAGCAGATTTTATTGTCATGTATTTTATTGAGCCAGAATTTCATAAAATGAAATGAGAAGCAACAGGTAACTCAGTTACACTTCTCTTAGGAGCTAAACGTTATTCTATTCTCCACTTCTACCTTCTTCATATGTCAGCTATTGGTACAATCCATATGTTCTTTATTTATTGTCACATATCCTTCTCATATGCACTCAGGCCCCCTTTCAATATTTCCTATAAATCACTCCTTCCAAACTAATTTATGTTACTGTTTTTCACTGAACTGCTGTTCTGCTCTCATGTAACCGATGACCTATGTGCTACGTGAATTGGCAAATACATCCTCTAATTCATCAGCAGCATAGATTATGCACGTGAGAGGAACTCTACTCCTTCTCTACCCCCTCTCCCACAGCCTTCTCCCTGCAGCAGATCCTTGCCTCTGCTCTGATTCAGGTTATACTCCATGAATACCCTGTATCGTGATAAGAAAATGTCCCAAAATAGATCCTAGATGTAGCTACGTAATAACGATATAAAAAAGGATAATATATTTGTACAACAGCCTCAAGTTTTAGACCAAAGAATGCAAATAGCACCTGACTTTCTACTTGAAGCCTTCTGGCTCTACCAGTCATCTTTTTTTCCCCCCTCTTGGATATGTTAAAGCTCCAAACTTATGCACAAGTCATCTGCTTCAGATGAATGTCTCTCCCAAAGTCTCCAATATCATCTATCTTTCTGATGACTTTCCCCATCCCTCATTTCCATATCTGCTAGTCAGATGTTCTCCAAAAAAGAACCATAAAATCATTCATCAATGATCAAAATATCATTTATATAGCAACAAATAAGTTATATGACTTGCACAAGACAGTACTGGCTCCCATTTAAGTTGCCTGCTGTCTTTGAAGGTAGTCATGCTCTGCATGAAAGGACCTGCTCTGACTGCCTGTGAGGGGACCTCAGGAGAGAGACAGCCCAGCCCATGGGGCAAGTAGTTCCCAGGCCATCTGAACTTCACAGGTCAATGTTAAGTTCTTAAAAGAAAAGTCAAGCCAGTGCCTATTAAAATCATACAGAACCAAACCATTTATTGGTCAGTTTTTGGAATAACACCAGGAAAATTCCCCCTCCTCCTCAACTTATTATTTGATTCTGCTCTGAATTCACCAGGTCAGAAGGAACTTGCATTAAATATTTCAGTTCTGACTGATTTACCAGAATGGTGAGTGTGGAAAATAGGAATTATTTTTATCCATTTACTCAGAGGCCCATTATGAGCTTTCCCATACTCCAGAGCCCACACACGCTCTAAGCTTCCCATTCAGGGGCTCAGTAGGAAAACTGTCAACAAGCTAACTCTTTATATCTCAGTGGAAATTAAAACTATTCATTGGGAAACTTTAAAAGTCTCATGGGGAGGGGAACCCTATCAGCTTCCAACTCTCAATGCTGCTGCATTCTTGTAGCCTTCTCTGCATTTCGGGACCATGGCTTTCAAAATCATAAAACAACTTTAAGCCTTCAAATGAAGTCACTCATCTCTGCATTACTTGACAAAAACAAAATAAACAAAGCTCAAATCAAGCTGCCAAAAAAGGATGTCCAAAATGACAAGAGTCCTGTGGTGATGGACTTCTGCTGGGTTTTTCTGGCTGCTAAATGTTACTGTCAGTAGCTCTTTGAACATGAAAAGAGCTATGGAGGCACAGCACACAGGTTCAGCCAATCCTCAGAACATGAGATCTGTGCTGCAGGAGGTAGGTAGGACTGAAACGCAGAGAGTTGAAGCAACCACAGCCACAGAGTTACACCGGGTTATTTATGCCTTCCAGGGTTTCTGTCTCCAAGAACTCCCTTTGTGCTCATTTTATTGCAGAGGAGTAGCAGCCTGGTATATTGTATTTCCGAAAAACCTAACATTAAAGGAATATTAAAGGCTATCAAGTCACATACAGAAATCATAAGGCAGGTAAGGAGCTTATGGATGGGTAGACAGCAATAAGGGATAGAAAAATGGAAATTACAACAGGGTGGCAGCAGGTTACTGGTGGGATGACTTGTCTCATTCTCCCCCCTCCAAAAAATCTTGTTTAATAACTTCAGTAATGAGTTAGGCACAAAGCTTATGAATGTGCCACTGAAGTCTGCTGATGACAAAGTGAGGCACTGCCAGCAATACAGTAGAGAAAAAGGACATCAGAGAAAACCGAGTGAGCTTGAGACTAGTAGTGGCAAAAATGAGTTGAAAATGTAAAATGGAATGTAAGGCCTGCAGGGACTAATGACGAATGCTTCTGCTGGAAAATAAGTTTTTAGTAAATATGTGGTGGACCTGGTTGCTTACTACTTGATCACAAGTGACTCTAAAGCACCAATCTGATATGTCCATGAGGTATTTCCAAATCAGGCAATTAAATACTGGTGCTCTTCTACAATTCTGGCCATCCACATTTGAGAAACTAAAGATTTGGCAAGCCTATTTGTAAAAGGAGAGAAGATAGAGGAGAACTCCAGCACACTAAACGGATAGGACTGCTGTCTACTAATACAGCAAGGGAAATGAGAAGACAAGATTTAAAATAGGGATACTCACAGAACAGGAGCAAGTAGGAAAAAAGAACTTGGACAACTATAATAAATTTGAGTCGAATGCTAACAGGTATTCCACTAAAAGAGCAATTTGGATTTCCAACTGGCATGGAACAAAAGTGCTGACAGTGTTTAAAATGAAGCCAGTTCATGAAAGCAACTATATTACTTGGTGGCTGTAATTGCAATATTCAATTGTGCATAAGCATTATGATACAGCATTTAATTAGATGATCACACATTAGTTTTTTCCCCACAGAATGCTCAATGCAGGCAGCAAATGGGCAGCTATTAGTGATGTCTCTGTACCTTCCCCATTCAGCATGTGGCCTTATTATCCAAACCTCACAGTGAATACAAAATCACGGGTTTCCTCACAGACATTCCTACAGTGCTGTCAGAATATTCATGTACTGCATAAATATCAATGAAAGCATCTCTATCCCTTTCTTGTAAAAGCAAGGGCAAAGATTATTCCTATTTTTTATACAGGGAGATAAAATACAGAAGAATCGTGTTCAGAATAAGCAAACCATCCAGTGATTTCGGGAGTATAGCTTGAGGAATGCAGGCCCTGAGTTGCCCAGAATCTTTGGCATATAACACCTGCAGAAATTTCTATTTCACCCATTGCAGGTTCAATATAAATGCTTAACTGTTCTGCAAATCAAGCCCCAGAATTATATGCTCGAGACAGACATGGAAGAAATTGTGGTTAGTGACCACACTCAAAGAGTCTGGGTTCAGGAAATTTTCCATCATCACACAAGAACATCCCTGTTAGACACAAGGAAAGAGTTCAGCTCTTCAGGAGTATTCAGCATCATTTCCCCAAGACTGCCCTCCTTCTTTCTGCAACCCTGTGCCTCATTCACTACACACCTTCCAAATTCTGCAACAAATGAGGAACAGATAACAGCTTCATTCCCACAGCATCGTCCATCCTATGCACTGATTCGTCCATCCTATGCCCTGTGAAAAAAATAGGTCGTAATCATGTTATTAAAGGCTGTATCATCATGCCTTCATGCCAGGAGGCTAAGCAAGGGTTGCCCAGGCAACCTGACTTCTTCTATTTCTGAATGCTTGACTTGTCAATGTTCATGTTCCTCTAATGTTATCAACATTCAAAAAACAAACAAAAAAAACCCCTCTAATGGCACTGTGTGGAATCGAACCATATCTGGGCTATCAGGAGGTTTCAGATATCTACAGGTACAATGCTGCTGACTGCTACTGGAGTTATAAAGGAAACCACAGCAGATACAGCAAGTGAATTAGGCAGTACAGAGAGATGAGGCACATATTTTGTGAATGGATTTCACAGTAGAAGAATGCTAAGACTGAGTTCTTGGGCTTGAGAGCTTGCTCTAGATGATATGGAAACTAATGCTCATGGTCCCACTGGTATCTCCGCTCTAGTTCTTCTTTCCTCTTTCCTTCCTCTACAGTCATTAATTCCTTGCCAGTCCTTTGTCATCTTTGCCCTTTTAAGTCCCCTCCAACTATCTTTATTTCTGTGTTCCCACTACTCTTCTCACTCTCCTCTGTATCTCTTCTCTTCTCCATCACCTGTCCCTCCTACTGCTCTCCATCTCAGGTTGGTTCCAAGGGCGGCTTCTCTTCTTGCCTCATATCTGCATCCAAACTAATCCATCCTTCCCTCTCTTCATGCACAGGGGCCGCAAGAATGCCATGAGCACCAGGGCAAGCTGCCAGCCCTTTAGACTCAGTTCCTGCTGTACCAAATCAGCTCCTCCAGGAGAAAAAGTAAAATAGACAAAAGACCCACTGTGCCAGAGAAACACAAAGAAATTGTGACAGGCTGGAGCATGGCCAGCAATGAGTCTGCAGAGGACTGAATCGCTGAGAGAGTCGTTCAAGCTTAAACATAGGCTGACACTTTAAATAAAAAGATGCTTATAACATATTTGGCTTTTCCCAGTGGCACCAGAAGGCAAATACTCAGCAGAAACATCCCTCCCACCCTGCCACCTCCAAATCTTGCAATTGTCAGGGGTCATTGCCACCCTCACCTGGGAGAGTCAGCACATTCATGGGCTCTCCTCTTTCACTTCTGCAAATCTAGTTAGCAGTAGAGGACTTAAAACTGATCAGGTTTATTCTGCACTCATTATTTACTGTGTACCTCATGTCCTGAGGGAGTTACACAAACTCTTAACAGTTCCTATTCCTGGACAAAGAGGAACTGTCAGGAGAAACATAGACCATCTGTAAGCTGATGTAATGTACAGGAGTGCAACTTAAATTACTGCCCACTGGCTGCTACTCTGTTTGAAACATAAATCTCCATCCCGTCCATCTCCCGTCTCCTCTCGCTGTCCTTTGCCTTTAAGACTTACAGGTTGTGTTTAAGTAGCAGCTTGAACTGTATTTGTGGCACTTACCTGACTACCCTTTGGGACTACCGTGAAGCATTTAAGTTTGGCACAGTTAAAGAACTCAGAAACAGATCTGATAAAGGGACACAATCAATAAGTTTGCATCTAGCATCACATGCAGTTACCTATATTATGGGGCAAGGAAACTTGCTTGCTTTCTTTACCTCATACTCTTGAATCTTCATCCACCCCATTTTTCGTATTTAAAACAGTAGCAGAGTTGTAGCTGTGATGGTGTAAGGATATTAGCAAAGGTTTGTAGGTTTGAGAGAGTTAATCTCTCCTACTAGGGAGAGAGATGGACTCTCAGATATAATGCCACCTCCCCCTTCCCTTTGTATTCTATGTAATCTGAAAAGAGCATGCAACTATGCTGTATTGAACCCTTGTGGTTAAGAAAAAATAAAAATATATAGCTAAATAAAATTGGAATGTAGTTTATGTATAAAAAATATGGCAGCATACGGCTCAGTAGCAAAAAAAGGTGAACAAGAATGATTTTTTTCCATAAAGGAAAAGCCCCTGAAAACCCCAGCTTTCCTCACCGCAATCAACACACACACACACACACACACACACACACACACACATTGTTTGTCACCACTGCACCCCTTCTTTCTCTCCAGAATGTATTCTGCACTTTTAAGTTTTGGTGTCTATTTGGATGCTTGATCTTTGTGACCACTTTCACCATTATATGAACATTATTTCTCTACACTGTAGAATATTTTTCACTCCTCCCATTGATTGGCTGTATCTTAGAAATGAATGTCTGCATCCTGTACGCTCACAGGAGTGTTCCAGTTTGTGTCTTCATGTACAGAGAAGCAAAAATGGGGCATTGTTATTCAATCCGGTCAGGCAATTATTCTTCTTTCAAGGAATGTCTGAAATGTCCTTCATCATAAAGAAAGACAATGAAAACCCCACAAGGGAGGGTTTCCGTGGAAGCATCAAGTCTGGCACTCTGATAATGACTCTGATACAACTTTCCAAGTTGCACATTGCAAAAGGCACCCAAATACAATGATGGAGTGGAGATCAGCTTGTAGCCGTTAACCTATTGCAGCTGTAAAACAAGCCCTTGGCCTCACAGGGAGAAAAAAAATGTATCCTATCAACACCACAGCCACCATTTAACCTACTACACTCTCCTTTAAAATGGTGTGAGGACAATCGGTACTTTGGGATTTCCAAATCCCCATAACACTCTTTTCTCCTGTTCTTTGATTAAATCTCTGTTCTATATAATTCCCAAGATGTATTTGGCTCAGGTGAAAAATGACTGCTTTATAGCCACACTGAAATGTATATTTGTTTCTTGCTTCACAGGGGGACAGGGAAGTTCACAGTAGCGAGGAAGTTTTTGAAGAAACTGACAGTGAAAAACCTGTATTGAGTTAATATTATCGACACAATTCATTTTCTCATGACTAAAGCTGGCTTTTTGGGGGTAAAATTTTGAAATATTTGTCAGCAAAACTTAACAAACCTGTTTTATAAATGAGATTTTGATAAGCAGTTGGATAAAAGTCAGTATTTTGATGCAAAAACGAATTGAAACTTATTTCTGAAAGAAGGTGAAATGTTGAGCCAAGTGATGAAAGTTTTGCGATTCAAAACACTAGAGATAATTTAACTAGCTCTAATTAGTACACCTAAATTTCCTAAGCGTGAAAGAAAAAATGGCTGCATAAAAGCAAACAACTCTTCATGAAGGCAAACTGTTCCCAGCAAAAATCAAAAATGTATCAATCATTTAGAAATAAACCTGCTCAACAGCTGCAGAGGGGATAACTCTCCTTTGGTTTGCATCTAACAACAAACATTACGCTACACCTCTGGGTCAGGTTACTGTGAAGATAAGGCCAATGTTAATTTACGTCACTCTCCACTCATATCAAGATCCCTTGTCTCGCTTTCATTTGTTTCTGGTGCAACAGCACTCCTATACTATCTCATTGGCTAAGCATAGCGCATCAACTGCCTGTGCTGATTTTCTCCAGACGCAGAGGTTATCACAACTCTTTGCCCTTTTGACTGCTACTGGACCTCTGTCAAGACATTTTGTTCTCTCCAGAGACATCTCTTAGAAGAGCGCTGGCAAGTTGCTGTCATCCTATGGATTGATTCAAAAACATAGATAATTTTGCTTTCCTTTTTTCCCCAACACATGGCCAACTTCTCTATGGAGCAAACGGGCTTTATAGAAGGCTTATGGCAGTTTCAACTACGGGTAGTATAACCAAACGGACCAGGAGAAGCTCTCAGCAAGCAATGGGAACGGTGTGACTCTTTAGAAGGGAGAATAAACCTGTTCTTTGCTTGGACTGCAATTCAAAATTGCTTTTTCTTCCATCTGAGTACTTCGCCCACTTGAATTCTACTTCTTTTTATTATGGAACTTTTATCAGCTGCCAAAATGGGTACATGTGCAACTACTGTAACTCCTATAATGATCTGTTATCTAGGATATACTAATTTGACTGATACATATGAGTACAATTATAGGAAGATTTCCAGCTGGAGGGGGCTGTATGGAAGCAGTTTATCATTTAAATGTTTTGAGTAACTCAATCATACAAAGCTATTATGACAACGCAGTGAGTCAATAAATGGCAACACAAAGGACCCTAACTAATGCAAAACAATTTGCAGCCTTTGCAGATGGAAAACAGAATAAAACGATCAAAAACAGAAAAACCTCCACACTGACAGGAAAACTCAACAAAGGAATAAAGTGGAAATAGGGGATATCCGCATCAAGCTAAATCAAGCATCCTTTCTCATAGATGATTATAGGCTTTTTACTCATTCCCTACTACAGCAACTATGCATATGTGACTATTAACACACAAGCACACTTTCTTCTGCTTATGGACCCACTGAGAGACATATGGCCTACTGTTTGATCAAATTCTTCATTCAGATTTTCCACCTTTCCACTATCCTTATTCAAGCTGTCAACACTCCCATGCACCCAAAATGACAGAGAAGGTCCTTCCAAAATCTTTAGCTAAGCTGATTTCATTCTTTTAATGCTGCTCCTTCCTTACTTCCCTTTCAAAGACGCAGACACCCTAGAGGTGGGTCAGAAAAGCCTTAACATGTGGGACTGCTGAGAGAGGTTAAAAAGTTAAAAAAGAGGTTAAAAGAAAGTGAAGGAAGAAATTCCTACCTTTCCTCAAAACCTGCCCCCACCCCAAACACCACTGTCATCTGCAAGGAGGCAGAAATAAGCATGTTCTGTATTGCTCAAGAAATTTTGCAAAGGGTAATATACTGACAACTAGTATCTGTTAATGTATCTCTACAGGCACAGAATCCATTGCACCAAGATGTGTAAATAATATTTTGTTTTCCACATGAAAGAGAGTCCCTCTTTAAACAGCAGTGTGCCCCTACCATGAAACTGCTGGAAAAAGTAATTGGTCACAAATAACAGTCATAAAACCATTTTGTTACTTAACATTGCTCCATGGACAATATCAGCATAAATGGCTTTAAAAAACCCCTCTAGAACACAGTTGTATCTTCGTCTTTTTTCCCCTTAAAGGAAACTCAGGTAATTTAATTTTTTTCCCTAAGAACATATTTTTTGCATTTTGTCTGCAAATCCAAGCAGCTGACTAGCTGAGAAAGGCCAAATTTAGAGTTGGCTGGGATTCTCCAAGCCCATCTGTGAGGCCTTTTATTGCCTCAGAGGCAAGTTTTCCCCAAGATTCCTCATCCCTGGTACAGGGGAGGCTACAAAAAGGACGAGATGGGGCTCGCCAGGTTAATGGCAGTTCTTTTACATCCTAGCTCGTCAGAACTTTTCCAGATCACTTACAATGTGCAGCCATGTTGCGTGTGAGGCAGATCCAGGCACTGTAACCCCAGATATGCAATGCAACCCACATGCAAACACGATAATTAAATCAAGTCTGCCAACTGCAGCACCAATAACAGAAATCACAGCTGCGACCTTGGTATGAATACCTAGATGAAGCACAGACCCAAAGAGAGTTTTTTCCCCTTTACTTTTAAGCATGTTACTGAGAAAGACTGCTCCATTTGTTAGGCATCGGTCAGTGAATTTTTATTATGCAACAGTGAAGGTACTCCAATCTGGGTGAAGTCTGTTCCAGGGCAGACAGCTCCCTTTAGCATTGACATGTCTTAAGGTACATTGCTGCAGAGATCTCAGGCAGTGAATGCCAGCTAGGCACGGAAAACCTCACTCTAAACAGCGGGTGGAGAGCAGAGATTACTGAGCGAGGTCTCCCTGCAACCACTGGGGTCAGGAGTGAAAACGTGCAGAAAAGAAACATTTCAACCGCTTTCTGACGAGCAGGTAGTCTGACAGAGAACACAAATGACGCTGTCGAACAGGTACCCATGGGCACTGTCAGATCTGTGAGAAGGAAGAGTGGAGCGTGAACCGAATTTAGCAGGGGCACCAGACAGAGGAAGGAACTTCAGAAAATCTTCTCCTTTGTTATAATTACAGGCAGGAGGAGCCACACACACAGGCTCTTTGGCAAAGCACTGTGGGAGACAGCAGCACGACTATTTCAGTGACAATCCCAGTGACAACGATAGCCCGCACTTTTTAAAAGCATCAGTAAACCACGGCACAAGGACTGCAACTCTCAACGAAAAACTCCACCCTACCACTACTGTTTGCAGGACTGCCCCCCCCCAACTACGTAATTCAAACACTACAGGAAAGAAAAGCAACATGACTCTTAGGGGAAGGCCTTAAAGACAAACTGTAATCATTTTAGACCTGCCACAGGACTGTTGTTTTTGTCACTTCTCCAAACCAACAAAAATAAATGTTCTGTGATGGCCATGGTCCCACTTAGGAGCATTCGTGACACATAAGCTCAAGGCACGCAGAGCTGATGGTGCGCTCTGTAGCCAGGGTAAAATTCTTCAAGAGATGTCTCTAAAAACATACAGCACTGGAAGGTGAGACTATAATTGCTAGGGCTGTTCAATAGGTCAAGTAGTTGTAAACACAGTGCTGGGATTTGGAACCATTTCTCAACAAAAGCAAAATGAATGAACAGGATGATTTTACAGACAGGGAGCAGAGTATTTAATTCTGGGCAGCAACGCCATGCGGAGACTTTCAGAGAAGAGCTAGCAGTTTCATCTGTTTGGCCTTCCTTGGTCTGATTTGTGGCTGTTTGTTCTACTCACCGGGCACCACTCCTTTGATATCGCTTTCCGGGTTCATCCTGTTCTTGCGAGTGAATTGAAGGATAAGTTCCTTGGATGCCTCAAACTGTTGTGTAGCCATTAGCCACCGAAGGGACTCTGGGAAAATACTTTAAAGATGGAAAACACGTTAAGGTCACTTCTGAGTTTCTCTTGGAGAAAGAATTGACAGTGTTTAGCTGCTTGTTTAACCATTTATGCGCTATGCTATTGTTTTCAAAAAGCAGAAGTACCACTTATAAAACAAATAAACAGAAAAAAGATTCACAATATGCAAATTAATCATGTTTTCTTTTATACTGATTCACAAAGGATACACATATTATCCTATCACCTAGAAATAGGGCATAGTAGAACTTCATAACATATCAAAAGAGTTATGCCTATTAGTACAATTCTGATAGAACTAGGAGAAGGAGGAAGCACTGTGTGCTAGACACATTTGCTGCCAAGCAGGGAATAAAAATTTGTGCAATTAAGACATGATAATTCCAGACCAAGGAAAGAAAAAAATCTCTAACCGACAGAAGTGATTCCAATTCTCTTGTAAAGATGGAGAGAGGATGGAGAAGAGTTATTTTTTAGGATTATAATGTAATAGTTTTTTAAAATTTTATTTTGTTTTTAATATGTAAAAAATCTTCTCCCTGAAATGCAGATTTTAAGGCGATGCTTTATTCAGATTGGTACTGTGTATGCTTCAGGTCACATTTAGTTGTTGCTATAAGAGTTTCCACCAGTAAAGACAATACTCTACTATCCGAGTCACCTTAAAAATATACACATGCACACACAGTTACAGAAAAGTTTATTCTTCAGCCAGTTATTTCCTTCAAGTGCTGATATTCACCTGAATCTCTAGCCTAACTGCTCAGCCTTCCCTGTTTTTTCAAATGAGTTTATTTTTACACACAACCAAAAGAAGTATGCAGATATTAAAAAACAAACACACACAAAAACCACTTCCATAGATATGGATACTTCCAGCCTTGACTGCAAGCATGTTTTTCTTTCTTATTTGGGCCTCATTTCCACTAATCTTCTGAAAAACTTCTCTATTTAGCAACTAAAATTTAACAACCATTTTTTGCTTGAAATATCCAATGAATCTCAAATTTCCACCACAAAGCAGTTATCTTTGCCACAGACGCTGTCTCACTTCTTACACTTTTAAGCAGTGGGGCAGGCAATTACACTATAACACTGCCACCTTATAAGGTTAATGCTACTTGGACAACACCCTTACCGAGAACTTCATCCTAGACAAAGTACAACATTTTTCTCAAGGAGGAAAAAGATGTCTGTCAGCCTGTCATCCAACCGATCCAAAGCAATAAAAATATATAACAGCAATGATGACAGCAATTCAGCTTGACAACTTATTTACTACACTGGTGCTGCACAGATGCTTTGGCATATTCTCCTGCAGAATGGCCTGTACTGTGACGTATATTCTGAAAAGTTAATAATTCTCTGATTGCAAAAACTCTCAGTGCTCGGCTCCAGAGAGAGGACAGCCTCAGTCACTGGTCTAAAGCTGCAGTTTTTGGACAGTTAACTTAGCAACT